CGGCTCTGTATCTTGGTGGCTGCCAACTCTTGCTCGTGGTCGAATGCTGCACCCGGGCTTTTGATGGAACTCTCCGCGACTTCATCGTTGGCAAAACTTTCTTGCTTCTTCTTCTCCATTTCCCGCCTGCAGATTCGGAGGTCCAGTTTGCACAGCTGGCTTTGCTGAGTCCTTTCGGAGGGCTACAGATGTCTTGAGAAAAGTTCAGAGTCCCCAAGTCTGTTGACAGCACAACTCCAGGATCGACTTATTTTGAATCAGCAGAAAGGCGCCAGTCCAACAATGAACTTCTGCTACGGCATTGACTGAGATTGCGGTGCCTGGCTTGCTTTCCGCGGACACGGCTCTGTATCTTGGTGGCTGCCAGCTCTTGCTCACGGTCGGTGCCCATGCCGCCCAGGTCGGTTAAAGCTTCCTCTGGCTTCTGGTTTCTTGCTCTCGCTGCGTCCTTCTTCTTTTCCACTTCCCGCCTGCCATGCATATGGTATTCCTTCTAGGTACCGCATGTTTGCCGACGTCCCCAGAGTGCCTGGCGTGCTTCCCACGGACTCGGCTCTGAATCTTCGTGGCTGCCAATTCCTGTTCACGGTCGAAGCCGCCAGGACTTGGCGCAGAGTCTTCGGGATCTTCCTGCTTGGCTTTTGCTGCTCTTGCTTGCTTCTTTGCTTCCACTTCGCGCCTGACGCTCCGGAAGCACATCACGACTGACTGCATCTAACTTCACATTGTCGAATCGGATTAGAAAGGGCAGCCAGCACATGGAAGCCGTTGCCAATGACTTGAAGGCAGGCTCTGGTAGCACAAGATAAGTAGGGACATTGCAGTGAAAAGCAAATCTGGCCTGGCATGTTTCCCGCGGACTCGGCTTTGTATCCTGGTGGCTGCTAGCTCCTGGTCACGGTCAAATCCGCTGGGGCTGGGCTCGGAATCCTCTGCGGGGTCATGCCGCTTGCCACTGGCTGCTCGTGCTTGCTTCTTCTCCTCCACCTCACGCCTGCAGCCGCCATGGTGAATATGCCAAAAACATCATGTGCCGACACGTTTGATGAGTAACTTGCCATAAGCATGCACATTGGGCAGCAGCATGTAAAACCGTCACCGCATCAAAAAAGTTGCATTTTCCTACATGTCTCTAGCAGTAAGCATCACACATGACCATTGGAACGATAGAAGTGATGGTGATCCTCTTGATGATAGTGCTGACTTCGAAAAAATGATAAAAAGATCTTCCTTGCAAGGCCTGGCATGCTTGCCGCGGATGCGGCTTTGGATTTTCGTTGCCGCCAGCTCTTGTTCACGGTCAAAGCCAGCTGCACCTGGCCAATCTACAAATGTAAGGTTCCATCTTTTGATATTAGGTATCATACTGAACTTGTTATCCCCGCAAAACGTTGGGCATAGCCAACCTGAGTCAGAGTCCTCAGTGTCCTGAGCTCGTCTATTCCTTGCTGCAAGCTTTCTCTTCTCCTCTTCCCGCCTCACAAAGAGTCTTATCTTGCATATGGACATGTAGCCACCATTGGGAGGCAAGGAAGTGAATCACTACAAAGCTCCCAGCTGCAGCGCATACCTCAGTGCCATGAAGCATCATGACACCCCTCGTAACTTATTCTGCGAATTGGCGATGATGCTAGCGAACATGACCCTGCGGCTATCGCCGCTTGCCCTCAAACTACTTCCACCTCAGCTAGTCCTACCGGTAACGCAGGTGATGAATACGATGCCATGGCAATTCTTCTTATCCTGACTGAAAACACGCTAATCATTGTCAAGCTTACTTCAGGCAGTGCCGCACATTCTCCTGTTCTTACTACTACCGCTACTGCTACTGCCGCGGTTACTGCTACAAACTGCTACTGCTACTGCTACTGCTGCCCGGATACTGCTCCTACTGCTGATACAAGTATGGTCGTGCAACTATTGCAACTACTACCACTACTTCTTCTTCTACTACTACTCCTTTTGCTGCAGCAGCAGCTCTGGCTCTCCGGAAAGCTGGCCTCTGCGGGGTCTTCACCACCTCCCGGCTCGAATCAGAGTCTTCGGTCTCATCCCGCTTGGCCCTGGCCGCTCGTGTTTGCTTCTCCTCCACCTCACGCCTGTGCCAAGTAGACGATTCACCGACACTTTCAATGGGGAATTTGCAATCAGGATCTTCTTTCAGCGGCAGGACTCAACCATTATTCTTCCCACTACGTGATGACAGGGAAAGCGGAAATTCCTCCATTCTGCCGCAGAGCTGGCCTCTGTGGGACTTTTGCTGGCTCCCAGGGCTGTGCAGGCGCTTTGGCAACCTCCGACCTGGCATAACACCAGCCTTCATAGTCTTCACATACTCATGTGTATACAGCATGTGTGTGGTCACTAATCGCAGCTTGGGAGTTGAGGGTCGGGGGAGGACGCTGCTGACAACTATGGCCGGCGAAGAAATTCAGGAATGCTAGCTGATCTGACGGAATGTACATTGACCATTGGTGGAGCTTGCATTGGCCCTCGCCATCATCATGAACAACTGAGTGAATCACGGAGGAAAATCCTGCCAAAGAGGCAATCCCATGGTTGCAACCACATCTACATGCTATTGCAGCTGTGATAGAGAAGGAATTGTCCTTCCACCCACATAGACAATCCCCTGAGACTCCATGACAGCCACTTTTAGAGTTCTGCTTCTCAGAAGCTACACTGAACAGGCAAGGACTCGCAAAATCCTGAAACGTGCATGCTGAGCAAGGTCCCCTACGCTCTTGCGATAATCACATCAATATGTTGCTAAAGACAAGGCCACACGGACTTGACTCCCTTGTCCAGGATTCCACAACTAACGATGATAATTGTAGTACTACTAGTAATAGCTGTAGTAATAATGATAATCATACTATTAAATATAAAGCTCTTCCACCAGGAGCTTCAATCTGCACCGGCTCCCCACCATGGTTCGCCTCTCAGCGCCTTTGCCAGCCGGCCTGCCCAAAGGCGCAAGTAATGGCTTGGTGTTTTCGAAGCTGCCAAAGTCACGACAATGCTCATACAAAGCGCATAGGACGCTCTTCTACGCGGACTACAGGAAACACTCCCCATGCGTGGAGGCTATAAAAAAGGAAGCCCAATATAAACCCCAAAATATTATACTCCTTTTTGTGGGTACCCACAAAGAGGACCTCTGAAACGTACCCATGTGAGCCATAGTTAGTCTAAACTCCTATTATCCCC